TAACCTCAAACAAGAACACAGTCCTTCATACAAATCTCGGTTAATATGATTCTATAAAGCAAAATCCAGATAAGACTTGCACATAAAAGCAAAAACTTATCGAACCAAATCAACAATGCACAAAACCAAGATCATAAAAAACTCAATTCTAAATAATATAAGAGATGTGATGGCAAAACCCCAGTTTTTGTCCATCTTCTGGTACCTCTTGCAGTCGATCTTCAAGCCATCTCTAGTGATGGTCAGAACCATCTGGAACTTCTGGTTATCGGTAGAAGACTGGTCGGGATCGTCCCGAGCTTCTCGAACTCTTCCTCGTCCTTCACTTCCTTGTGGTCACGAGCAGTGGCGGATCCAGGAATCTTACCCCAATGGGTCGCAGTGTAAAAGTTCAAATAAAAATTTAGGATGGAAAAACATATTGAAAATGAAATCATAGTATTTTCATTCATAATTCATAACGGAAACAATATTACAAACTATAATTGTCCACGACGAGATTTCATATTTTGAAAACGAAGCATTATAGCTTCATTTTCAATACAAGCAAAAATATCTCTCTCAATATAAACAAGCAAGCTATCACTCAACCATTGATCTCCCATTTTGTTCCTAAGTGGACCCTTAACAATATTTATGACAGAAAATGCTCTCTTCACTGAAGCAGTTGCAACTGGTAAAACTAAAGACAATGTAATGAGCAAAATATACATAATTGAATACTTGATGCATCCTTATCTCCACCATTTTTTTTTTGCAAGATCACCAATCCCTTCCAATTGAGAGAAATCACTACTGGAACACACATAACGAATAGAAATCACTACGTGTGTGCAGCCATGCGTGCCCATTTGTTCCCCATCTTGGCATGCAGTTCAACAATGAGACGTTCTTCTTCAGGAGTAAATGCCCCTTTCTTCAGGTTCGGCCTTAGGTGATTTGCCCATCGCAACCGGCAGCTTTTGCCACAACGGAACAGGCCTGAGTGCTTCTAAACGGCATTCCAGTTTCCCTCCCCATGCTTCTTAACATACTCCACCAAAATTGCATCTTCAGCCGAGGTCCATGGCCCTTTCTTTAGAACCATTCCACCATTTCCACTTCCTCCATTACTCTCATCCATCAACGGAGAATCAATCTGATCCTTGGACAGCACTCCATCTTCACTCTCATTTGTTGTCCGACTCATCTCTTGATTTGTGATCAAAACTCCTACCAAGAGCCAAGACCATGCAAAGAGCAGGCTGACAACCTGGAATAAAAAGAAAAAAGAAAATGACAATAAACACAACCGTTGCAGTAGCTCTTGTTGCAGTAGCTCTTGTTGCTCATTAACTTCAACTGGTTGTGTTTATTGTCACAAGCTCTTGCTGCTTCTTCTTCCTCTTCCTGCCGCTGCCGAGTCTTCTTCTTCCTCTTCCTGACGAATACCCCGACGACCCCAGCTCCAAGAGGTCGCATATGGGAGCTTCAAGGTTGTTTCCATGGTTTCCAAGGGGTCGTGCGACCCCGACGACCCCACTGTGGATCCGCCCCTGGTCACGAGGGTAGCGCCCTCACCGTCGTTCACGATCATATCGCGCTTACAAAATGAGAAAATGGCAAAGGTATCGTAGTCGGGGTGCTTGACCCAGTTTTATTGGGCTGGTTTGGTGTGGGATTTGTCCTATCCATTAAATGATGGAAGTTAGTAGATAAATTTTTTTATTAAAATTCAAAGTTTTAAAAAAAATTTCACTAATTTTTCTTTGAAAAAAAGTTTTTGAAAGGTTGTAGGCCAGTGGTGGGATTGGATGGATGCCACATTAAAGGTCCACATCCAGGCCAACTGCTTGCTGCCATTGGTATAGAGTATAGACCCAACAATAGCATGTATCCAGTAGCATATGCAATTGTTGAAATTGAAGATAGAAGAACTTGGACTTGGTTTCTTGAGCTACTCATCGCTGATTTGGGTATTGAAAATGGGCTTGCTTGGGTCTTTACGTCAGACAAACAAAAGGGGTTGATAAAAGCTGTGAATGACCTTATTCCAACTGCTGAACACATACATTGTGTTCGACACTTATATAACAATTTCAAGAAAACAGACCCATTGAAATTTTATATACTTTGTAATATGAGAAACGGATTGAGGTTTGGTACCAGAAATGGAGTTGTAGATGCAAATGCGCTATTCGAACATAATTATCCGCATGAATACTCTCTAACACAAATTTTAAGGGTTTTACTAAAGAAAAGTAAAAACATGTTAAAAGATCTTAAAATGACATAAATAACTCTGAACACAAGTCATGTGCGAGGCACATAATTTATTTTGGATGGAAAATTTAACGAAGTTAAGGTGAGATGATAAATTGATGATTTTGGCAAGTTAGTATGACAAATTGCTTAAAATTTTAGTTTATATGACACATTGAAAAATGTGTACAAGTTCATACGATATTTCAAAAAAAAATTCCTTGGGAAAATTATGGTCCCTACGTCCAACCAAATAATAAGGTTTTGATGAGATAATGCATGCCAACCTGAGCATTATAATCTTATGATTTTGTTTGCGTCTATATATTTACTCCCTAAATGTAGATTAGGTCGGTTGGTAAGGCATTGTATCTGTCGCGTTCTTATATTCAAGTTTAATTCTTCTCTAGTAAGTGATAGCTTATAATATCGTCTTACCAAAACTAAAGATACTTATTTTTAGTGGGATATATTTTGCTTAAGTATGCATGTTTGCAAGATTAAATGAAAACCTCCAAAATGTATGGGGTTTAATTGAATTCTAACCACCACCACCACCCTCATATAATTAGGGCAAAAGGCGAATTTAGGAGGGCTCCTTTCAATCATTTTGTACCCCTGCATATTATTGTGATTCAATGAAGCTCCCTGTTAAATGAACTGCACCAAATAGGGGGAGACCTTCTTCGGATCTTTGTGTCCAAAGCCAACAAACACAGAGATTCAGACCACTTATTTTAAATCATATGGTTCTCATTTGCTCATTCTACTGGCCTTCCTCACACAAACCACAAGTTCATATCTCCCTCTCTTTAACTACCTGGATATCCAAGTTCTTGAACTTCGAAAACAAAAATCCGGAGAGGATCTCGACTCTAAATAGGGTAGCTTTCTACTGTGCATGCATGTAGCTAGCCCCAAAAATAAGGGAAACCCCACCCCACCCCTAAAAAAAAACCCCCACCCACACCAAAAGTACAACTATAAGTAAAGCTTTATGCGGGATCGCTCTAAAATTGATTTTAAAATTAACTAGTCTGTCCAAAAATTGTTGTGACAATGTTGCACTTAAAATTATCTTATAATATAACATTATTCCATAGGGGTGGGCACTTGGAACCGAAAACCGAAACCGAAACACGAATCGAATCAAACCGCACCAAACGGTTTGGTTTTGCGGTTTTGAAACGGTTTCGGTTTCAAAACCGAATCGCGGCACACAAAACGGTTTGGTTTCGGTTTTGGGTTTTCAAAACTGCACCGAAACCGAAACCGCACTTTTTTTTTTATTTAGTTCATTCAACTAGGTTATACTTATTATACATTTAGTTTTGCGGTTCTGGGTTTGCACCGAGTGGGTTTGTACTTTCAGTGACTGCTTCTGCACCGCCTCCTTGCATCTCCGCATCTGCCTTTGCGACCTGGTCACCTGACTGCCTGCTTGCATCTGCTTCTGCCTGCCTGCCTGCGAGCGAGTCGCGACTGCTTCTGCATCTACTTCTACGGCTGCCTGCGAGCGACTGCTTCTGCGGCTTGCTTTCATCTCTGCCTTGCCTCCAATCTTGGAGTCGACACACCCAGAGGTAAAAATTTCTCATCCTCTGTCTTCAATTTCATATATGTTGTTAGATTAATTCGAATGTTAGGCAGGTTTGGGTTTGGCAAAAAATTACTAATCTACATGTTGAAGTCGACACACTCAGTGGAGTAATTATTAATCTAAGCAGTCTTCAATTTCGAAAAACTCAGGTTTGGGATATTAGTAATTAATTCGAATGTTGTTAGATTAATTCAAATGTTAGGCAGGTTTGTTCAAATGTCAGACTGTTATACTATTAGTAATTTTTTTTCGAAAGTTGAGATATTAGAGGTACTCCACTGAATCATGATTGATAATTTAAAATGTGCATTTCTTTCGAATGTTAGGCAGGTTTGGGTTTGGCAAAGTAAGTAATTTTTTTTTCGAAAGTTGAGATATTAGTATCTATCATTGATGATTGGTTTTGAAGTTAAAAGTTCACAGTAGTTTGCTTTTGTTTGATATCACCCATATAACATTATTCTATGGTTTGTTTTTTAAATGAATTAGGAGATTTAGAAGGTCTATTTATTTGTTTCATTTCTCTCATTTTGAGTCTTCTTCTGTCTGTATGTTCTTTGTTCCAATGGGAGTTGGCTGTTTTCAATTGGGTTGTAGTAAACTATTGTGATTGATTGGTGATCAAGTTGAATTTTAGTAGATGTGAATTATGTGATGCGTTTTTGTGCAGTTTTGTGCAGTTTTTTGTGCAGTTTTGTGCAGTTTTTTGGTGAAGTTTTGGTGCAGTTGTGGTGTAATTTTTGCTGCAGTTTAGCTGCTGTTTTTTGTGCAGTTTAGCTGTTGTTTTTTGTGCAGTTTTTTGCTGCAGGTTTGGTACAGTTCTTGGTGTTGTTTTGCTGCAGGTTTGGTGCAGTTTTTGGTGTTGTTGCTGTTTTTGGTGCAGTTTTGGTGCATATTCATTAATTAATATACAAGGAAAATAAGACTATCTTATGCATAAATATGTGTATATTTTAAATTGTACATTTTTTTTCTCAAAAACCAAACCGAAACCATTTGAAACCGAACCGAACCGAACCAAACGGTTTGGTTTCATTTCGATTTTGGCTTCAAAACCGCACCGCACAGCAAAAAGTTTCGATTTCGGTTGTGGTTTCACTCAAAACCGCACCAAACCGCACCGCGCCCACCCCTAATCCTAATCTTCTTAGGATTTTAATTTGCTCCTGTAACAGCTATATTAAAGCATAAATATTCATGAACACTCATCACCAATAGCAAAAAGGCACAAAGTACTTTTACATAAATCTGAAGATCCCTTTTATGCCCCAAACCCAGGTCTGTCCTCTCTTTGCCCTCCTCCTCCAAGGCATAATTAAAGATACCCACCAACAATATAACAAAAAAAAAAAATTACTGTGAGATTTTAAAATACCAACTTTATTTGATATTGCAATGAAATATGACAAAACGTAAAATAAAACAAAATGTACAAAAATCATTATTTTCGTAAATAAATAGACAGTGGAATAACACAAGAAGCCAAACCCAAAAAAAATTAAAAACACAGAATCACAGTAGAAGAAGCACACCATTTCAGATCTTTTTTATCCTCTTCGAAGATCGATTGATTCCAAAGAGAGAGAGGATGAGGGAGACGACGAAGGGGAGAGGAGGTAGACGGAGGCGAGAGGATGAAAACGACGGAGGCGGTTTACCGGAAGCATGTCTTGTCTTGTGTTGCTAGTCAATAAGTCAGTGTAATCCTCACAAAATCCCTCACTCAATCGGGTCAGTGACAACCTCCCTCAATTTTCTCCCTCTCAATCTCTCAAACACCGACAGCTACCCATTAATTTAGGCTTCTCGTGGCAATTTCGACCCATCCCTCAATCCCGACACCAACCCTTGATTTGAGGAGACCAAAATAAACCCTAACCCCTTTTATGGCAACCTCACTCCTCCCTTTCCCTTCCCCTCCCTGCCATCCCCCGCCTATCTCCCTCTCTGTCTCTGCAACCCATGCTTTTTGGCAATGGCAGGAATGTAAATAACACAAAATCGAGGGCCCATTTCAAAACAAACATGAATAGACTGGCAAAACCGTAAATATATCGAAATCTGTTCAGAGACAAAATTACCCTCCTAACTTTTAATATTTACCCTCCAACCCAGTCTCAGATTTGATTGCAATGGTGTAAATAAAGCAAAATCGAGTGACAAAGATTTGACTATAGCTAAAGCTGCAATCAAATCCTTCCTCAACTTTAGAATAGATAATATATCCTTCCTCAACTTTAGAATAGATAATATAGATAATATATGTGTGTAGAATGTCGACTACTTGTTTTATATTAATATCTTCATGTGTTTTGTTTAATGCTTTTATGTAGAAAACCTGTAACAAGGAAATTGAATTGTAGAAGTTGTAGCTCATATTCATTCATTGACAGCATATAAATAATATTGAATTACAAAGAGTCATACGGGGATACAAAGTATTCCCATCTATATCTCAAATAAAAGATGACATAAATCAATATGATTTGGTTTGTTTACAAAGGGCAGATTGGATTGGGATAAGGTCTCTTGTTTAACATTTTATGTATCGAGACGAGAAATTGAGAGTTTTTATCTTCTTTTTTTTCATACATATAAATGGCGTCCATTGAAAGTTGGTGATTGTAGAGGCAAGTCAGACTTTAAGTGTGACTTGAACACGAATCTCAAAATTTAAAGTACTGAAACCTATTTTTGTGAAATTCCGTTCCTGAATTTAACTATTATATTATACGTATTAGTGTTATTGAGATTTTATATTTTTTGGAAAATTAATTATTCAAAATCCGTAGACTATTCGAGGTCACAAATTATATTGTTGAATAGATATCGAGATCACGAACGCATAAGTGAAAACCGTTTACGAGTCCGGATTATAACGGTATAGTTACGGACATTTTAGTAAATTCAAGTGGAACTTTCTGGAAGCCAAGGACTTCCTTTTTCTTCTTCCTGCGTGAAAAACAAAGGTGGGGGTGTTAATTCTTCTACCCTTTTATTTCTCCTTCACTCCAAAAACTTCATGGAATCATAACTTTCTCGTACGGCAATGAAATCATGCACGGTCGAAGCCTATGTATTCGTAGCGAAGCGCTCTTCAATTGGTACCAAACCCATATGCTGGAACCAAACGTGCCCATATTTTGAAGCCTACAAGCTTCGACGACTTTTGTGATCTTTTCGCCGATTCCGGCTAACCTCGCCGGAGATAGGTCTTGAACCAAGAGGGAATAATACTCCTCTCTTCATGCACTTCCAGGATGTGTAAGTGGATCTTTCGAATTTAAAGTTTTATTTTCCCACAAGTTTGAGATTTATGTGTTTAACTTGAATTTTTGGTGTTCTTGATGGGGAGTTGTGGTGGTAACATTGATTCAAGAGCTTAGTAGCTAAGTGGAGATTGATGAACAACTTTGGAGGGCAGGACAAGAACAAGAAATGGTACATACTTTAATTTTATTGAATTGTTTGTAGTCTTTGGCTAAAAGAGGAAGAATTAAGCATGTTATAGGTAAGCTAACACATTGAAATAGAAGTTGAATATGATTCCTGGATAGTTTGGGATTGCCCTGAAATTGTAAATTGGATTAAACTAATATGGGTTTTACATTGCAGAAAACTTATTCATTTTGCATAGGGAAACTATGTTTCAATTAGCCTACTTTGGCTCTTGATTTCTATGTCCTTGTGAGCTCCTTTGAACTAATATTGTGTGTTTTGAAAATAGACATGTCCATGATCAAAACCCATCTGATTTCACTTAATTCCATTGAGTTTTGGTTGACCAAAACTATGATCAAATTTGAGTCACAAAGCTGCCAAATAGCAAGTTCTGCATTTCTAGTTTTGGGATCCATTTTATAATTGGCATACTTCCAATTTAGAGCTTTGTTTTCTACCAACATTATTTGGTTATAAATTACACAACACATGTCTCCAAAAACATTTAAGTTCGTACCGTTTAGTTCAGAATTGAGCTTTCAAAAGTGAGTTTCAATTTGGTTGATCAAAGCAGTTTTTATGCAGCTGTTGTGGAGGAGTATTGTTTCTTTAGTACTCAATCATTCTCCTGTTTTGCTTTAAATTACTTTTGATTTATACTAGTGTTGTTATTTGAAGTATAAGTTGCACTAAAATAATGTCTATGCTACACAAGTTAATAATTTGTAATTACTCGCTTCCATGCTTGCTAATATGCGTTTACTTGTGTTTGTTTTCATTTGTTCATGTGTTTGTAAATTGGTTTAGATTCAGATGTTGTGCTGGAAAGTTTGGAGGACTTGTGTTGACAAAGATAGTCGGACACGAGGTAGGAGGTTCTAGGGAAACTCCATTATAAGTATTATTCTTTATTGTTCGTATTAATTTGGGATCTAAATATTGTTTGATAAATATTTGGATATGATTGCCAATTGAATACCTATATGAACTTAGCATTACTACCTAGTGTGGGATAGAGATGAAAGTCAGAAGATGAGTCAGGTACTTTATTAGTTTTTAGTAGAAACAGTAATTAAGGGAATTTCTTGTGTTGTGCTCCATATGACCAGATGATGGTTGTGACTTATGTGAGTTAAATTATCTTTTTAGTTATGTGAATGATGTGTGTGATTATTTTTACAACAATGTGATCCTAGACTCCTATTAGAAGTATGTTGTAACACTTATATGCTTGCGTGACATATTAGTGGTGACCTCGAGAAATTGATGGTGTAGGTGACTACGTTGTAACTCATAGGGGTTGAGATGTGGATAAGTTGAGGTGTTGAATTTACTACACCATGTAGTAGTTGTACTTGGTACATTTGATGGGGGAATCTTATGCTTGTTTGGATTCTGTTGAGTGATGTTCCGGAATCATATCCTTGCGTGGATTCCGTTGAGTGATGGTTCGGAATCCCTTCTACACTATGATTCCGTTGAGTGATGTTCTGGAATCGTATCTCGGTTTGGATTCCGTTGAGAGATGGTCCGGAATCCCTTTTACTCCGCGATTCCGTTGAGTGATGATCCGGAATCGTATTCTAATTTGGATTCCGTTGAGAGATGGTCCAGAATCCCTCCTATTTCGCGATTCCGTTGAGTGATGGTCCGAGATCGTACTCACCTTGGGGTTCATTGAAGAATTTAGATGGCTTCAAAGGTGTAGGCTTCGGCCTAACTGTGTCGCTCTAACCCTACTTTCCATTGTGTTGTATGAGAAGATGGGTGTGAGATGTTGTGATGGATTTCAGACGAACCGTTGGATGTCTAGGTGACTCCTTCGGGGTTTACAAAAGTTTGGTATTGATTTCTTATGAATAATTTATATTCAAGAGATGTAAACGGTGAGTAATGGTTAGCTTTGTCATTATTATCACATACTTGTACTATTGTCACTCACCCAAGCTTTGTAGCTTATTTGAATTCTTGATGCCGATACACCATTTCCATGGTGTAGGCACTGATTGTACAGATGTCAGGTTTGAAGAGATTACAAGAGGTCGCTTGGTATTTTGGTTGGATTATGTTGAGTGGGCTGGAATCCCTACTCTTGCTCCTTTCCGTAAAGGTAATTCGACCTTAGAGTCGAGTGAATATGAATTGTTCACAGTAGAAAAATTAGACTTATCAGGTTAGTACTTGGAATCCAGGTGGGGAAATATGAAGAGATCCTTTATTAAAATTTGTGAATTGATATGGGACCTTATTGATTGAATAACATAGTAATTGTAGATATCATGCATCTTTGATTTTAGGAGTGATTAAGTAGAATGATTGCGGAATGATGTGGGATATGATTGTTATTATTATGATTAGTCTCGTTGCTCAATGTGGCATTGAGAATAATATTGTGCTTTGTTGGTTCTTGGATATGTTACATGTGGTAGATTAAGGTTTCATGTTGAAAACATAGTGACTTATATGAGAGGTGGAATGGAAACCTTGATTGTCATATTGGATTGTTATGTAGCCTTGAATCTAGTACTTCCATACTTGTCAAATTCTAATGATTGATTGAGGAATGCTATATCTTTCGGCTTGAATGTATTGTGGTAAATGTAGATGGATAGTGATCGATGAACTACGAATGGCTTGATCCCTGTTTAGAGTACATAGGCAGTCTAACGAGGAGGTTAGATGCAGCCATAAAGCTTACGAAAAATTATTACGCAGTTGGATCTTGAGTTATGCCTTGTACATATCTCGGAGGCGGGATCTGTTAGATATACGAATACTGGATGACGTCACGCGTCGATCCTGGACGTATGTTGGGTTCGGGGCGTGACAATTTTCATGTCCATGCTATTGAATTATCAGAGAGACAGGCCGATTGCCCAACTCCAACAACATTGACATTGTTCCCAACTTGGTAATTACCACCTGCATAATTCGTTAGGTGCGGGGTTTTATCACAAAATGCCTCAGTTTTAGTTGGAGTGGGGTTAGGATATTTAAACTCTTTTTTTTTTTCATTGATACGATTGATGTGAGACATTTCAACACGCCCCCTCACGTGGGACCCAATTAGTGGGTCACACGTGAGAAATTCACACATCGACAACCACGTGGAGCCAAGAGGACTCACCCTACACAAGGGGTCATGGGACCCACCATCATCGCGTGAGGTCAAGGGGTCTCACTCATCATGTGGCAGTACAGTACGAGCCCGTTTTCTGGCTTTGATAACATGTTGAATTATCAAAGAGACAGGTGGAGGGCCCAACTCCAACAACATCGATACCGTTCTCAACTTGGTAATTACCACCTGCACAATCCATCACGTGTGAGATTTTATCACAAAAGATCTCGGTTTTAGTTGGAGTGAGGTTATGATATTTAAATTCTTATTTTCTCATTAATACGGTTGATGTGAGACATTTTAACACATGCACTTTTATGCAGATGGTTACTTTGTATCTAAGTTGGAAATATTTATCTGATTTGTCATTTTCCTTATTGCTTAAACTTTGATCTTGTACACATAAATCTGAGTTATTTACAACTGCACCATAGAGGTCACTTTATAAAAGCCTGCAATGGGACAATGACTTGTGTTGGTGGTCATGTTGCTTGGTTTGACAATATAATTGTGATCGAATGTTCAGGTGGGATATCGAGGATTCTGCGAAGAAGTTAGGATCATGGTCTAAAATATCCATAATATCCCGATATTTTCATTGAAATTTCCGTGTTTTTGGATTACCGATATTTCCGATATCATCGATATTTTAGACCTTGCTAAGTCACTTGTGTATCTTACCAAGCAATGTTTAAAGTGTAAAATATTGTACTAATTCATTATATATAAATGATTATGGCGTGTTTAAACTTCTTTCATTAATTACTACATATTTTCTACACTCACAATGTTTGCCAGCTCGTTATATAATCAACTTAAATCAGTTATATCTATCATGCAATGCATTTCCTTCCAATTTTTTATGATAAACTAATAGATAATTGACTAAATAAACATCCTGCAAAGTTTCAATAAAAATTTTCAAGTTTTTCTTACAATTTTCGTGGTTTTTATTCAATTTTTATCGATATCGATAATATCCCGATATTTCCATCGAAATTTCTATTTTTTTGAACTATCGATATTTCCGATATTATCAATATTTAATACCTTGGTTTGAATCACTAGAAAAAGAGCTATAAGACACCGACACTATTCCCAAATCATGCATATTTGAAGAAAGTTGTCACCGTGAAAAAACATTGGTGCATTTTTTAGTCAAACCGATTATTAACTTTTACTGGTGTCTATATGGATTATGGAGCCTGCCCTGACAACTTTAATAGTCAAACCGATTTGATATTGCATAGAAAATTGGAATACAAAAGATGCTGTGGACATAATTATTGATTCCTTACTGATGAAACCAATTCCTCGTAAAAGGAGCTGGCTTCTCTGTACTTCCACTTCTTATACACTTTTATTTTTTTAGGTAAATTACATAGTAGCTCTTCAGGTTTGAGGTCTATTACAATCTCATACAACAACTTTAAAACATTTCACTTTCATACATCAAGTATCATTTTATTTCAAAACAATACAACCGTTACATTTTTCATCAATTGATCCGTTAAATGCTGACGTGGTTGCCACATTTGTACCACGTGGCTGCCAAATGTGTGCTACATGGCAAAAAAAAATTAAACCTGAATCTTCTAAATTTCCAAAAAAAAAACACAAAAGCTGAACCCGCAACCCCCACCCACCCAACATGCAACCCAGAAGAAGAAGGAGAGGAGAGGAAAAAGAAAGGAAAAAAAAACCCATCTTCCCCGACCCCCCTTCCTTGCAATCCACCCCTTTCTTCCCCCTCCCATCTTCCCCAAACCCACCGTGCACCTATCCTCCACCTCCTCCTCCGCACCCACTACCTCCAACCCAGAAAAGAAAAGCAAAAAAAAAAAAAAAAAAAAGCACAAATCTGGGATCTGGGTTCGTGGAGCAAAAAAAAAAAATGCACAAATCTGAGATCTGGGTAAATGCACAAATCTGGGATCTGAGTTCGCGGGGGGTGGGGGAAGGGGTTAATGGGATCTCAACCCAAAAAAGAAAAGCAAAAAAAAAAAAAAAAAAAAAAAGCACAAATCTGGGATCTGGGTTCGCGGAGCAAAAAAAATGCACAAATCTGGGATCTGAGTTTGCGGGGGGTGGGGGAAGGGGTTAATGGGATCTCAACCCAGAAAAGAAAAGCAAAAAAAAAAATAAAAAATGCACAAATCTGGGATCTAGGTTCGCCCGGGGGGGGGGGGTTGCCGGAGAGAGTCAGAGAGGGAGAGAAAGGAGTGAGAAAGCAGAAGGAAGAGAGAGAGTGATGGATATAGGATTGGCGTTGGGGCGAATAGAAAGCGGGGGTACTTATGAAGGTTGCGAGCAGGGCATCAGAGGTCTGGATATAATTGGCATCTGGGTGATCGCGGGGTTCTTCTTTTCTTTGTTTTTTGTTTGGGTTCAAGGTTCAGGTATGGGGGTGGGGAGATGGGATATGAATTTTCTATTTTTTTTTTAGAAGATTAAGGCTTTTTAAAAAAAAAAATTAAAAAAATTAATTTTTTTTGCCACGTGGCACACATTTGGCAGCCACGTGGTACAAATGTGGCAGCCATGTCAGCACTTAACGGATCAATGGATGGAAAATGTAACGGTTGTATTGTTTTGAAATAAAATGGTACTTGATGTATGAAAGTAAAATGTTTTAAAGTTGTTGTATGAGGTTGTAATAGACCTCAAACCTGAGGGGCTACTATGTAATTTACCCTATTTTTTTCTATTTTATGCTGTCATGATTAAATCACGTTAACATTTTATATTATTTTTTTTTAAAAAGATAATAAGACAAAAGCAACAGTAATATAAAATATTAATGTGGCTTAACGATGACCTCATAAATAGAAGAGGATGAGAGTGCATGAGAAGTGGGAGGGCAGAGAAGCTAGCTCCCTTGTAAAACGCTCCCTCTAAATCCAACCATGTGGCTGTGTGTTTCTCACATTTTTGTAAGGGAACTTTAACGAAAAGCTTCCGGTACTGTTCACTTTAACGAAAAACCACATTTTTACACTAAAAAGTCAATCCTGGTACTATTCACTTTACGCTTTATTTTGTCATTGTCGTTAAAACTTAAGGTTTTTAAACCATTTTTATTAATTTTTTTTTAATTATCAAAATAAAGTAAAGTAAAAAACAATATTTCACCTCCACTCCTTTTCATATCACTTTCCGGATTCCTCTTCTAAAAGCTTCTACAGTTTTTCTCCCAACACCTCAACCGGTTGCATGTCGTCCTCTAGACCAGCAGCTTCTCATCCGCATGTCGTCAACAATATGCATGTAGTCCTCTGTGTTTTTGTCGCTCTCTGTATTTTAAAGTTGTTGGGATGTGAAAGGCTGAGTCCACGAGAGATTTGTTTACTGGGTTCGTAAGTTGTTTGATGGGAGTTTGATTCACTCTTAAACCTGGTAAAAAGTTTCCTTGCTTCGCTCTGTCTCTACTCTTGCTTTATCTTTTTGGATTTTTTTTTAATTTTTTAATTTCTAATTTTTATTTTTTGGTTGAAGTTTAAAACTTTCTTTTATTTTTTGGTAAAAAGCTGGATGGATGAAGTGGAAGAGTGCATCTGGCGTGTTGTGTGACCGCCGTATGCCACTGAAGCTCAAGGGAAAATTTTATAGGACGGCAATAAGGCCGGCGATGTTGTATGACACAGAATGTTGGGCGGTGAAGTATCAACACGTACACAAAATGGGTGTAGCGGAGATGAGGATGCTTCGTTGGATGTGTGGGCACACGAGAAAGGATAAGATTAGGAATGAGGATATCCGGGGTAAAGTAGGAGTAGCCGAAATTGAAGGAAAGATGAGAGAAAATCGGTTACGGTGGTTTGGACATGTGCAAAGAAGGCCTACTGACGCTCCGATTAGAAGATGCGACTATGGGACAGAGGTTCAGGGCCGAAGGGGTAGAGGAAGACCTAGGAAAACTTTGGAAGAGACTCTAAGAAAAGACTTAGAGTACTTGGATCTAACGAAGGACATGACACAGGACCGAGCACAATGGCGTTCTAAGATTCATATAGCCGATCCCACTCAGTGACTTGGATTTTCCAAGTCTCCAACCGAGAAGTTTTCCTCACTCGGAAAATTAAGAGAACACTACCCCAACCTACATGCTCCACTCAGAAAAAAGCTTCAACAAAAGAAAAATTCAAAGAACTTAGCGAAGAAGGCTTTGGTGTATTTAACACAATACGTTGAAATGAAGGAAAGCTTATTTATTGATATCCCCGATAAGCTACAAATATGTACATATACGTGAGTCAAAATAAACAAACAAGATGGAGCCTTCACAAAGGTTGCTTAGGAGAAGTCTCAGCAGTCGGTAGAGCCCCAGAAAGAGAAGGCATCGGAGGGGGATCATTCAGAGCCTCAGTACTGGACAGAACCCTAGAAGGAGGAGGCATCAGAGGTTGATCATTTGGAGCTTCATTACGCGGTACAGCCCCAGAAGACGAAGGCAATAAATGCCTTTGGAACAAACCCACAAATCTCTGATGATCAAGTAAAACCTGACCATCAGATTCCTTCATCTGGTCAAGCTTCCTCTTCATGTTGGTAGCATAATCATGTGCGAGCCGGTGCAATTGTTTATTCTCATGCTTGAGCCCTCTAATATCCTGTTTGAGACTCATCACTTCAGCCGCCAATGATTCAACTTGGCGGGTTCGAGCAAATAGGCGTTGGGCCATATTAGACACAGAACCTGCACACTGAACACTGAGGCCAGCGAATCCTTAACAGCTAACTCATCAGACCGTTTGGAAAGTAGTCTGTTATCTTTGGGAGTGAGAAGGTTCCTGGCCACCACCGCAGCGGTCATATCATTCTTCATCACGGAATCCCCAACGGTAAGAGGACCAGTAGGGGAAACGAAGGATGGGCGCCATATGTTGTCTGGAGAAGGCGGGGCTGCCTCTTCAACAAGGTTCAAGTCAAAACGACGGTCGGAGGGGCCAGACATTTTCAAAGGTGTTGAAGAGAGAAGAGGTCGGACAAATCAAGATCTTAGAAGTGCAAGAATGAAGCTTTTACTGGTGGAGATTCAAGTGTGCTTTGGAACTTAATGCCAGCCCCTATAAAAAGCTGCACTCGACGGAGCTTCAGACATCGAAGAGGCGCCTGCTCAGAAATCGAAGAGGCGTTTGCTTTCTCAAAAGCTGGGCTGCTTAGAGACCACGAGGGTTGATCTCATAAATCGAAGAGGTGTTTACTTTCCCAAAAGTTGGGCTGCTCAAAGACCAAGAAAGCCGATCTCAGAAATCGAAGAGGCGCTCGCTTTCTCAAAAGCTGGGCTCCTCAGAGACCACGAGGGCCGATCTCAGAAATCGAAGAGGCACCTACTTTTCCAGCCTTGTCAGCACCTGTCACACGCACACTCAGCTTTGCGGAAATTATGGGTATTCTGTCGAAGATTTCTGGGGAAGTAGAAAACACATGAATGTTACTGTCCAATCACCCACTTCCCACACGCAACAATAGCTCATGGGTACCACAGATAACTTTGCCAAAGTTCTCTGCCAAAGTTGAGCACGTGAAGCTTGCAGCTCCCACTACATCGCTCTAACCAAGAAGGGTAAAAGAATAGCAAAGAAACAGCACTAACAAAGTTTAGACCCATAAATTTTGAAGGTCTAGCTACCATATTATTACCCACAAGGGTAAAGGAACAGTACCACTGCTGGATAATTGGAAAGTCCCTGTGTGTCAACCTCTGTGCCTCGTGGCAAGGTAGACTAGCAAACATGCCCAACCTTTACTCACATTCGAGAAAACACTCCCAATAAGATTGCTTGCTCCAAAATCGAAGAGGCACCGTCCTCCGAATCTCGAGAGCCAGACTTCCAACATGACTACTTTCTCAAAAATCGAAGAGATGGTAAAGGAACAGTACCATTGCTGGATAATTGGAAAGTCCCTGTGTGTCAACCTCTGTGCTTCGTGGCAAGGTAGACTAGCAAACATGCCCAACCTTTGCTCACATTCGAGAAAACACTCCCACCAAGATTGCTTGCTCCAAAATCGAAGAGGCACCGCCCTCCGAATCTCGAGAGCCAGACTCCCAACATGATTACTTTCTCAAAAATCAAAAAGACACTGCTCCCCGAATCTCGAGAGCCAGACCCCCAGCATGATTGCTTTCTCAAAAATCGAAGAGGCATCGTTCTCCGAATCAATCGAAGAGGCGCTCGCTTTCTCAAAAGCTGGGCTGCTCAGAGACCACGAGGGCCGATCTCAGAAATCGAATAGGCACCTACTTTTCTAGCCTTGTCAGCACCTGTCACACGCACACTCAGCTTTGCGGAAATTATGGGCATTTTGTCGAAGACTTCTGGTGAAGTAGAAAGCACATGAATCTTACTGTTCAATCACCCACTTCCCACACGCAACAATAGCTCATGGGTACCACATATAACTTTGCCAAAGTCTCTGCCAAAGTTGAGCACGTGAAGCTTGCAGCTCCCACTACATCGCTCTGACCAAGAAAGGTAAAAGAATAGCAAAGAAACAGCACTAACAAAGTTTACACATAAATTTTGAAGGTCTAGCTACCATATTATTACCCACAAGGGTAAATGAACAGTACCACTGCTGGATAATTGGAAAGTCCCTGTGTGTCAACCTCCGTGCTTCGTGGCAAGGTAGACTAGCAAAACATGCCCAACCTTTACTCACATCCGAGAAAAACACTCCCAACAAGATTGCTTACTCCAAAATCGAAGAGGCACCGCCCTCCGAATCTCGAGAGCCAGACTCCCAACATGATTACTTTCTCAAAAATCGAAGAGACACTGCTCCCCGAATCTCGAGAGCCAGACCCCCAGCATGATTGCTTTCTCAAAAATCGAAGAAGCATCGTTCTCCGAATCTCGAGAGCCAGATACCACATACCACTTTTTCAAAGTGCTCTGACAGAGTTAAAACATGTGAAGCTGGCAGCTCCCACTACCGTGCTATGACCAAGCAGGGTAAAGGAATAGCATTACTACTTGTTGTTAGGGAGACTCCTATATATGTCGACCTCCATCCCCAACGGACAGGCAGACCTGCAAAAATGCTCAACCCTTCCTCATATCTGAGAGGGCACTCCCAACGAAACCTTTCGAAATATTCAGCTTTCTTTCCCCCGATAATACCTCTGCAAACAAGCTATACTAGAGCAAGAATATCTCATATCATAAGGGTTAAAAGCAAGAGTATCCCATATCATGCTTTTTCCCTGTCTTTTCCTTTGGCCTTGTTTTTACCTGCAAGACAAGGAAAAAGAGAGCAATCAGTCAGCACTTGAAATCAAGCTCCCAGCCAGGAACTGACTGCCTGGAACCCCTTACCTGATTACTTACCTGGCATTGCTCTCGAGTACTCATCTTCAACATCTTATGTTTCCAGGGAAGATACCGCATCTGCTTGAGGAACAGATAGGGCAAGTGAGAAGGATACAAGGAAGCATGTGGAGACAAGCGTAACAGCACACGTGCCGATACATCCATTACTCTGTCAAAAGCAAAAGTATCCCATATCAGCAGGGTCGAATGTACTCTAGATTTGATGGACTTGTTTTGACCCTCAAATTCTTCAGTCGGCCTTATTCTCTGGAGGAAACCAGAAAACCCTCCAGCTCAGTTCAAGAATAAGCCTGTGGAAAGTTACTTCTTCAAGAGCAAAAGTATCCCATATCATCTCTTCTCATTTTTCTTCTCTTTATCCTTCATGCTGCTGCAAGATGGGGAGAAGGTGAACAATCAGCCGGAGCTCTGATTGCTTACCTTGTCTGTCACCTCTTTCAGCAGATCCCCTAGCTCGGCGACTTGGGGGACTCCTACTACATGGTTTGTATCGCGCTGGACCAAGCCTGAAACTACAAGTAAGCTTCAAGTGAAATTGATACATTACCTTGTGCATCTCCACCAGTTAAAGATACCACCCCTGGATGGAGGAAGAGTACTTCCAGAGAAGCTGCCACATCTACCTATGAGACAGATAAGGCAAGTCAAGATGATACCACACTCCGATACTTAGAAGTTTTGTGATTACGAGATCATTCTCCCACAATATTTCATAATGTCATTTGTACTCTAATGTTATTTGTACTAAATCATTCACTGGTACTCACTAAAGGAGAGCTTGAACCTATGTACTTGTAAACCCTTCACAATTAATGAGAACTCTTCTATTCCGTGGACGTAGCCAATCTGGGTGAACCACGTACATCTTGTGTTTGCTTTCCTATCTCTATCCATTTATATACTTATCCACACTAATGACCGGAGCAATCTAGCGAAGATCACAAAAGCGACCGTTTTCGCTACCTAGGATCTATCTTGCAAGAGAACGGAGAATTAGATGGAGATCTCAACCATAGAATACGAGCTGGATGGATGAAGTGTAAGAGTGCATCCGGCGTGTTGTGTGACCGTCGTAGGCAACTGAAGCTCAAGGGAAAATTTTATAGGACGGCAATAAGGCTAGCAATGTTGTATGGCACAGAATGTTGGGCGGTGAAACATCAACACGTACACAAAATGGGTGTAGCGGAGATGAGGATGCTTCGTAAGATGTGTGGGC